TAAATTCAGAAACTGGATTTCAGGAAGCTGCCTGTTGTTGAGCTTCTTATCCAGAAGGGTTCTTCCCCTAAAATTTGAGTAAATGCAGCAAGGGTTTTGAAGTGCTGCTGCCCCGCAGCAGCACTTCAAAACCCTTGCTGCATTTACTCAAATACCGAGTGGTGCAATCCAGAACACCTGAAGGGCCTGGGTCCCCCATTCCTACGGGGAAGGATGCAAGGTCGTGGAGAGTTGTTTTGTTTTGTTTTTAATAAAAGCCTGGCTCTTGGCGCTGGTGCCTCCTGGCAAACGGTCCTCTCCCTTTGCCTTTCTCTTCCCCGCTTCCCGCTCCTTTCCTCCCCCAAAGCCTGCTTCGCTTTTCCCAGCTTATCTCCGCGTTTGCTCTCAGCTCCGGAGAGCTTTCCACGGCTTGCCCCTCGCACACCCACTTGTTGGTCTGATGGTAAAGGACCTCCATGCCGACCATTCATCCGCCACACTCCCCAGGATCATCGGAGTGCCTCTTCACACGTCAGCAAACCCGGCGACTTCCGACTTCCCGTGAAGCGAAGGCCTCCGGATGGCGTGACGCACCCGCAGAGCCGGCTGTCTACGCTCTTGCCTGAGTAAACGTTTGCTGCCAGGGCGGCGCGGGCTGCTCGGCGCTGCCGGTGTTACACGTGGCGTTTTGGTTTGCCTTGGTTTCGGTGTGCGAGTGTGACGTGCAGTGCCGACCTCCATAGAATTTAGTCGCTGCGGCATTTTGCTTCTTCAGTGTAAATTAAGCTGTACTGACCTTCTGCAGGTCGCCTTTCCTGTTTAAATAACGCTAACCGAGCGCTTTGGATTTGCGATTAGGCTCATTAAAGGGAGAAGTCTACGGAAGTCCTGGTTGTCAGTCCGTCATCCAATTCTTGGTTGTCCCAAAGATGCTTTTTCAAGAGGCAAATGGACGTTCTGGGGTTGTTGTTTTTTTGCTTTGAAGACATTTGGCTTCTCATCCAAGAAGCTTCTTCAGCTCTTAAAGAGAGAAGCAACCTAGAACTAAGGAGAAAGTTCCTGTCAGTGAGAAGAAATAACCAGTGGATCAGCTTTTCTTCAGATGTTGTGGATGCTTCATCACTGGAGATTTTTAAGAAGAGATAGGACAATTTAGTTTAGTTTACTTTATTGTCATTACACCTTGTACAATGAAATCAAATACCATCTTCAGTGCACATCATGACTATGACCATGAAAATAAACACAAACACACATCCTTCACCCTTCACACATTGAACCGGAATCCCCCAACACGGCACCAACACTGCACTATACAGTAGAATTCAAAACAGCTACTGCCCTGGGATAGAAGCTGTTTTTCAGCCTATTTGTCCTTGTTTTTATTATTCTGTACCGTCTGCCAGATGGTAATAGTTAAAAAAAAGGGTTCCCAGGATGAGATGGATCTTTGAGAAAGTTTTCTTAAGGCAGTGGGATCTATAAAGCCCTTCCAAATAGGGAAGAGGGTAACCAATGATCTTCTGGGCAATTACATTAATCCTCTGGAGTGCTTTCCTATCTGCCACTGCGCAATTGGCAAACCATACAGAGGTGCAGTATGTTAAAATGCTCTCTATGGTGCAGCGGTAGAAGGTCACCAGCAGTTTTTCATTCAGTTGTTGTTTTCTGAGAAGTCTCAGATAGTATAATCTCTGCTGGGCCCTTTTGTCCAGTGCTGCAATGTGAGCATCCCAGGTCAGGCCCTCTTTTATGATAACACCCAGAAACCTAAAACTGGCCACTTGCTCCACTCGGTCTCCATTGATAAGCAAGGGCTGTGTGTCTGATCTGTTCTTTCTATAATCCACTATATTTGTCTGAGATGATATAAGGTCCCCTGAGCAAGGGTTAGACTAGAGGACCTTCAAGGTTCCTTCCAACTCTGTATTCTGCTACTGTAACTGTTACTATAACTAGGTTATGTTTAGCCCTAATTGAAACTTTCCCATTCGTGGATTGGACTAATAGCCCAACTTCAGGCCAATGTTAATTTTAAATATGGCCAGGTAGAGGGAGACCAGAGGCTAAAATTTCTTCCCATCACAGGATCAGCTCCCTTTTAATGGGAAAATCCAGCTCTGACTGCCTATATTCAAACCTTTATTGTCAATGCACAACATGTATAGAATAAGATTGGCTGAGCCTCCCTTAGTGCGCCACCCCCGCAACACAAATACATCTCAGTAACTCACAGTGAAAGAAAGAACATCCCTAACCCAATACATCATACTAACAAATACACCACCCTCTATACATATATGTGCATAACATGACATTACATTATATTGCACCAATGTGAACATGTTGCATATTGCACTGGCCCTGCAAATCTATCATACTACATAGTTACGATGTTATATTGCATTCAAGAGTCTGACAGCTCACGGATAAAAGCTGTTCTCCAGCCTGTTCATATGACTGGCTATGCTTCTATATCTCCTACTCGATAGTAGGAGAGTGAAGGAGTGCTGGCTAGGGTGTGAATCATCCCTGAGGATTTTCCTCACTCTGCTAAGACGGTAAGTCCTAGCGTTTTCATCCAGTGGTGTTAGGGGACAACCTTTCAAAACCTTTTACCAACTCTCATCCAACCTCATCCAACTTTTACCAACTCTCAATCAAAAAGTTAAAACAATATAAAATATAAGCCATAAAACTAACCACATTAAAATATTAAAAGTAACAAAGACCTGACACCAGGTCAAACTTATAATGTGCAATTACACAACTTACAGACTAGAGTAATGAACAGAATTTACACTTGGGGTAAGCCTGGTCTTCAAAGCTTTAAGGGAGGCTAGGAGAACAGAGGCCTGTCAAATTGGGTAGCAGTAGAAGAGGAAAATAACTGTAGCATTTGGGGTGGAACTGGGGAATTACTTGTTCTCTTTATAGGACTTGTCAAAGAGTTTACTTCATTGCCACCTATACGAATGAATACATTTTGCCAAGGAAAAGTTTGCTGAGATATTTTTTTTTCATGCATTTCTTAGTGAATGGTTAGTACAGCAGGGGTGGGGGTGGGCGGACGAGATCAACCTTGGAAATGAGCCACGGTAGAGCTTTTTTAATGATCACGATTCCTGAATGCAAAACCGGGTACAGTCATTTGAAAATTACTTTTGAAAATCTAAGATAATAGTCCTCAGGAAATGCATAAGCTTTGGCTGCTAATAGAGTAAAGAAAAACATGCTTCTAATTATTCAGGTATAGGTCAAAGCAAGGCCTTTGCAAATTTTACAGGAAATTACTTTTGTATTAATGGAGCTAAAATTGCATTCTTTATCCATCCGCCTCTCAACCTATTCCATTTTTTTTCTCACCTCACCTGGGGCCAGACAACTTCAGAAGGGATGCTCTGACCTGGTTAAAAGCATTCCAGCAAACTCTGTGATTTACTTAAGCCAATTTGATCCATTGGACCATAAACTATATGCGCAATCTCACCATATAATGTACTAAGCTAAAACATTTGCAAGTTCAATGCATGTGGACATGGTTTATCTTTTTCTCCTTGACATTTTGAGTCAATTGTATGTACATGTGTTAAATAAACAAAATTAATAAAAACAGATACAGCAACACAATAATTATATCTGGATTCCAGATTCTTTCTCTCCCCTGCCACAATGAAATTAAATTTGAGACAGTATAGTCACACAATAAAATACTGTCATTTTGGTTCCATATTTTGAGGATTCCATAGCAATACTGTTTGACCTAACATTAATTTACTAAACCAATAAGCCTGCCAAAAGTGTTTACTTCTTGTGAGAAGATAGTACACTGCTGAGCCAAGATGTTGCTATTCTAGTATTTACTTTATTCCTAGGTCATCATTGCTGCATTGTATGTATACAGTCTATACATAAAGTGATGCTGATGATGCTCAGCTGTACATGAGGTAGTAGCTGTGGATAGAAAGGTTTTTACACAACTTTATGTTGGATATTAATTGTGCCCCTTTCTGGATCAGGAGATGCTGTGTATTATACACATCACTGTGTATAATCATTGACACTTTGATTATTTCCCGAGTGAATTATGGCCCTGCATTCCATATGGTGCTGCCTGTAAAGAACATCTGGAAGTTGGTTTAGAACAGGCGGGTCCAACCCAGCCCATGGGCTACATGCAGCTCTGCACAGCTAGTAATGTGGTCCCACAAGATGGTAAACTTTTGACTTTATGTGATATATATATATACATTAACTATATTGTGTATTTTATATACAGACCAAGATAATTCCTCTTACTCAATGCCGCCCAGGGAAACCAAAAGATTATACACCCATGTTTTAGAATGCGGCAGTGGCACAAACAATTATGCTGCACCTTGGTTACATGCCCATGTAACATCCTTGCTCCACAAACTCTATTGGATCTCAGTAGGATACCATCTTCACGACATGAGGCCAGGATTTTGGAGGTTGCCTGTCTCTGGTTGTTTACTATCCACTCTATCCAGTCTAGCAGGAGGGACATTTTTGTTTATTTTATTTATTATTTTTTTATGCCACCCATCTCCTCTATAAGATGACTCTAACAAATTAATGACAATACTGGTCCTTTGAAGATTAAATCTGCCCCAACTCTGCTGGCCTTTCTAAAAGTGTTTTTCTCTTAGGCAAAGGAAATGGGAAAGAATGTGAGTTCTAATTCTGCCTGAGGCATGAAAGCCAGCCTGGTGACTTTGAGCCAGTCACTTTTTCTTATCCCAGACCACCACATCACAGGGTTGTTGTTGTGGGGAAATTAGGAGGAAGTAATGTGTATGTTTGCTGCGTTGAGTTATCTATAAAAATAATAAAGATGGGATATAAATAAATAATTTATCAAAGATGTGTTTATCCCTGATTGGCATTCTTCATTCTTCTAATTCTATTAGGGTTTTTTTTAAATTAATTTTATTACTTGTTATTATATTGATGTTTTAATCTTGTTCATTATACAGAGTCACTTTGGAAGCCGGGTAGCCAAATAAATCAAATGAAATAAACAAATTGTTCAATTTTAAAGGTATAGTATAACATATAACCATGTCACTTATGTGCATTTAATTATTTATTTGTTGCACACAATTTAAAACTCACACCAATCCCAAAGAACTCTGGGCAATGCACAATATCAAATAAAAAGAATATATACATGATAACTAGATGAAAAGTGATATCAAAAGTTAACCACAAAAGAAAACTAAATTAAAAAGTAAGAGATGCTTGCATTCGGTCAGCTGGGACCAAGGGAAAATCTGAAGTAAAATAGATTTCATTTGTTTATGGAATTGCAACAAGTTTGGGGCTACTTGTATTTCTGGGAGGATAGTACTGCATAAGATGATAGCTACATCAGAGAAGGTATTTCATCTCACTCAACCTCTGCTCACCTCATGAAGAGAGGGAACTTTCAGCAGGCCTTCTCTCTGTAGCAGACCAGATGGCAGGGTAGCATGGGGTTGCTTAAATATGCTGAGGCGATACTATATAGAAGATGAACCATTAAAACAAAACTTTGAATGGGCCAAGAAGCTTACT